AAGAACAAAAACAATGACGTCGTTGTCAATTGTTCGAATTTCGAATCGGCAACAAAAAAACGTATCTGAGTCTGGGCAAAAACTGGCAGCGGGCACTGTGAACCTCATTTTCTATGCCACTGCCGCTGCCAAATGTCAAATGTCGAATTGAGCAATGAAATGTAAACTTTTCATTTGCCGACGCCAACAGGAAACAAAACGAAGCACAAAAGAAAATGCAGTGTTAAAAATAAAGCAAGATGGCCAGAGGACAGTCAAAAATGTTACCAATCAAATAAAATGTAATCAAACGGAATGAACGGGGCAGCAAGGAGACATAAGAACTGTTGTGCTTTACTGGGACACGAGGTCTATTTTTATTAAAAAGTGTCCTATTTGCAGAAAATATATAATGATTCCCCACTTGAAAAATGTGTATTATTTAAGGCAAAGAACTCGATAAAGTCTTAAAATTCAAGCTTTAATATTGGACATATATTTATATTATATTCCTTAAATAAAACTCCCTCGCTTTAAGCTTAAGGAGGTTTATTTCAGGCAGAGTCGCATTAATTCCCTGACACGATTTCCTTAAACATTTTATCGCATCCTCCACTTTGTACCCAATTCAACGAGAATTTATTGAGAGTCTTTAAGGACGAGCAATCGGCGCCAATACACCAATACAGACGCGAGTACAGACACCAATACCAGTGCTGGTGGGAATTCAAATAGCTCACACAGATACACGTACAGAGCAATGGCTAAAGCTACTCAATTGTAATGGCCGCTGGCATAAAATAAAGCTTACAACGAGCTCCACGCCCATCAACGACCACGCCCACAAGGCCAACCAACACCTTTTTTATGCGTTTTCATTTGGCAAAGCGTAGGAAATATCTTGCCCACGGGGCGTATTAAAATCAATTCATTTAATTTTGATCAAAGCGAAATAAATCTTTGCGCTTTTTGCTTAATTTCCTTCGCTTTTCGTTTCGCCATAGCGGGAACTGGAGCTGGAGTGAGTGAGAGCCAGGACCGAGGGGAAAATGAAGAAAATCCACAACAACGTCAGTGAGTAATTTGGCCCCAGTTCCAGATACTACATATACATATATATGGAATTGTATAGGTATGCGCAAGCTGTAAAAAGCAAAGTAAGACAAAAAGCACAAATAACAGAGAAGTACCGTAAGCGAAATGAGAAATCATTAGTAAGTAAAAAGCTTGTCAATGTGTGTGTAAGTACAAACACACCGACACACACACACCCGCACGATAAAGACACATAAAAGGAAAGCGGCGTGTAAAAGTTTTTCCTGCTCTGCTCTGCTCCGCTCCGCTTTTCCTTATCAATGCCAGCGACGGCAACTGAATTAATTTTTCAATTCGCCAAACGAATTCATTGACTTTTTGTGTTCGCCCGCATCCCCCTCAACCACTGAATCACCCAGCAACCCCAACCTCCCTTCCAACCGCCCACACAACCAGCTCCTTACACACAAGGATACACAAGGATACGGATGCAGACTTCACGTTTCTGCTGGGGTATTAAAATCCTTTAAACAGATTTCATTTCGAACGCTTTGCGGTCGATAAATGCATTTCACTTTGGTGGTTTTTTACCCACACAAAAACACCCACACCGACACACACACACACACCCATACAATGTATTGTGCGCTTCACATGCACGTGGGTGAGGGTTTCATTTGGCATTGCATACTTTTCGGGTGCAGCCATCCCGCTCTTGCCCACACACCTTCTTCGGGTCTTCCGCTTCCGAAACTGACTCTTTCCAATGATTTGCTGGCAAATTACTTTGAGGTGTTGCCGGCTGTCTCTCGCCTCACTTTGCCACTTTGCCTCGCCGCCCCCACCCCGCTGCAGTACAAAAATTGCCAAATTCATTTCCAAAACAAACATTTAGTGCATATCTGTATGGGTATGTCCATGAGTTGATGTGGGCGGATAGCTGGGGATGTGGGTGTCTGTGAGAGCAGCAAGTGCTGCCAACCAATTTAAAAGTTTGGCTGTCGCCGTCGCCTGAGCGAAAGTAAAGCGCGCTGTGTGTTGCTGTTGCATCATTTGGTGGCAAAGAAAAACAGCCAAGTGCAGCCGGATCACAGGCGGTAAGAGATAAGGCTACCAAATACAGTGGATGCCACTATCTGAGCCCACTCGGATCACCAATTCGGCTGAGAACTATAGAGTTTTTAAGCTTGACTTTTTTGGCTTAAAATCTTGGCCGGAGAATAGAAGAAATTAAATATTTTTGCAAGAGAATAGTTGCCGTTAAAACAAGCCCACCTGTAAATACTGAAATATATTCCGACTACTAACTGCCACTGTAGTTGGCCGTAATGGTTGTTGTTGCAGCACTTGTTGTTGTTGTGTTGCTGTGGATGGGTCTCCTTCCACAGCCAACTACTGTGGCACTTGTTGGCTTGGCTGCTGCAGTTGCGACACTTGAGAAACTCGCAGTCGCTGTTTGTTTTTGCAGCAGCGGCATGTAGGTATGTAGGTGTATCTCTGTGTTTGTGTGTCTGTGGGCGTAAGTGCTGCTCGAAAGTTCATGCACCGTGTGACACTGTAGTGGTGTGTGGGTGTGTACTCCTGCATATATAAATTTATATGCATGTGTCTGTTACGCTCTGCTCCTTTCGGTTTGCCGCCAGTTTGGCCGACCCTCGCTCTCTTGCATTTGAATTGGAAATTCAGCGGCGTGCTTAATTTTCAATTTGCAATCATTTGCCCTGGTAATCAATGTTTGCTCTGTCGGTGTGCGGTTGTCGACTTTTTCTGCTCGTCCTTCTAATAGTCCTTCTAGTTCCCTGCTAATTAGTAACTAAGTGTGGCTCATCGCAAAGTCAATTGTCCTCAAGCCGGAGTCATTTCGTCTTGCCGGATGTGGATTTTTCCCCGAGTCGGATTTGCTCCAGTTTCGCACTAATTTCTTTGGGGCCTTCTTCACGGCCCGCTCCCGGACTTGCGCCAACTTACACAATGCTCCAGACTCGAACTCGTCACTCTTCACTTTCACCCTGGGCTCTTATTTATGCCTCTTGCCAGCCAGCCTTCCTGCCTGTCTGTCTATCTGTCGGCCTGTTGTCTTGTCTAGTAATTTTCTCACACTTTGCAATGCTCATCAACGCTCCGCTGGCCGCTCGCTCGGGAAAGCATGGGGAAACTTCGCAGACTCAAGTGTGGAAATTTTCACTTTTTTGCCATAATTAAATTCATTTTCAAGTTGCTCTTGCCATGGCTTTCGACTCAACGAGATACAACCGCACAAATATACGCAAACTCCCGCACACACATAGCCACTCTCAACTTTTCACTATTTTCCGTAGACATTTTCCATTTTTCATTACTTTCCAAAGTCGGCCCCCGCTCCCGCTGAGCCAACGCTCTCCCAAGCTCGTTTCATTTTCATGCAGCTTCCTGTGCCGTTGTTTCCGGTTTTATGCCTGCCTGTGTCTATTTGTGTATAGTTTTTGCCATTAGCAACCAGCCAACGTTGCGATGACGGGAATGCCGGGGAAGGGGCCACAAAGGAGGCCTACAAATTGGAAAGAAGGCGTCCCGGCCTCTGGTTCTGGGTCTGGATCTGGATCTGTCTCTGTCCTACCGCCTTTGTTGCCAAGTTTCGGCTTAAGTTGTTTTTAAGTTGTAAATCTCTTCGGCTATGCAATTTCCTATCCCTGCCCTGCTCTGCCCTGCCTTGTCCTGTCCGGGCCTGGCCAACACCACTGCCTTCGAGCTGTATCAAATTTTTCATTTGTGGTTAAAAATATGAAAATTGTAACTGATATTTATGCTTGTAATGCCATCGCTTGACATTTCGGCCTGCCAGCCATCCAGCCAGCCAGTCATCCCAGCTTTCTGAGGGTGGACACACGTCCACAATAATTCATCTCAGAAATGCGTGTTCGAGTTTTGTTATTTTTGGATTACGTGTGCGAATTTGGTTATTCGCCCTTCCTCAGGCCCTCACAATTCTACTCATTCAAAAATAGCCAAAAGTGATACTTGTGTGCGAAAATTGTGCTTTATTGGAATTTTCGAAATCTCCCTGTTATGCCTCGTCCTGTCTGAGATACTTTTAATTGAATGCCTCGGCCAGAAGTTTTTGGGTCTGAGCCGAATACGAATTCTCCTAAATACAAGATATTTCCTCTTTTCCTTAATTAAGAAATTTTTTGCCAAAAATAGGCTTTTGTTGTAAGACTATTTAAGTTTCTGAGTACTAACAATTATGGGAATCGTTTTAATTATTTTTATCATTTACGATATGCTAATTTAAATGATGCTTGTCTATTTAACAATGTTATTTTCAACACTAACAAAATATCCCATACTAGAAACAGCAAATAAAATTAATAATGGCATGGCAAGGCAATAAAACGATTTGAAAACTTTTGAGCTCCCACGTATCCAATCACAAAAATTAATTGCCGTTGAAAATAAATCAAATTTTTTTTTATTTATTCTTGATTCGAGATTTTATAAATAGCAGCATAAATATTCGTATATTATGACGTATTTTTGATTTTGAGATTTAATTTGCAAAGTTTTTATTTTACATCAATTTTATTGTACTCTTTACTTCAATAATAACTTCATTTTAAATTTCCTCGATGGATTCTTTTTCATTAAGCTGAATTTTAATTATGAGAAAAGTAAATATCTAAAGACTCTTATATTATAATTTAATATTACAATTATTTTTAAGGAACCCTCTATAAGTAATTTAACTTAGAGTTATTGATTCGATTAATATATATTATATATGGGCATTATATATGCCCCATGCCAAAGCAAATGCTTTATTGCTCTTTGAAAACGCAATAAAATGGAGCTGTCTGGCTGTTGCAGTCGAAACACGTCTCAAGGGTGAAATGGCAGCGACATTTCTCAATTTATGCAACACCTCTTGCCGGTGGAAATATCGCCGTAAACCCGAGGACATTCACCCGCAGAGCTAGTGAGTGGTTGTGAATATTCGATTTGGCACTCACCTGGCTTGGAGTTGCTGCCGACTAGCTGCTGCTGTTGCTGCTGCGACATCTGCTGCTGCTGTTGTTGCTGCTGCTGCGAGTGCTGCTGCTGGCCATTGTGCAATACCGATTGCTGCTGCTGCTGTTGCTGCGAGTGCTGCTGCTGGGCGGCTGCAGCGGCGGCGGCGGCCGGGTGGATGGCCAGCAGCTTCGTTTCCGGCGGCTTGTGCGGACCCATCGTGATCTGCGGGGCACCCATGGCTATGGTCGGGGCTGGCATCATAAGGGTCGACATGGTCAGCATTATTTGCGAGTGAATTTTGGTCGCTGTCGGGGTCGCTGTTTCTGTCGGGCCTTCTGTCTTTCTGTCGGGCACTGGCACGGATAACGGGCACGGCTTTGTCTTGGCTACTGCTATTTCTATTGATTCGCTGACCCCTCCACAGATGGTGAACTCGGTGCCAAAGGTCGTGCGTTAGCCTTTGTCGCCAGCTTTCTCCGGCTCTCGGCAATGTTTGCTATATATCTCCCTACCCTTATGTGCGAGTGCAAACTTATGAAATATGCTCGCTCGGCTCTATGTATTTTCACTTTTCGTCCTCGTTCTGGCTGCTGCTCTGAGTTATTACGAAAATTTTTATACGAATATGTACTTTTTTTTAGTATGTGTGGGTTATATTATTTTTGTTGTTGTTGTTTTTTTTTTGCTTTTGCTTTTGCCTTTTCTTTTATGTTTCGCTTATGTGTTTGTTCAACCGGAAATACACGAACTCAAGCGCACTTGGCTTGTAATTTCTTCGCTGCTACATTCGGCTGTGAGGATATCGCTTCTGGATTTCCTTCGCCTGCCAGTAATCGCAAATTATTCTTTCTTTCCTCCGTTCGTTTTGTGTTGTGTCTGTTGGCAGCGGAAATTATAAATATTCCTGTCATACGAGTACCAGGAGGAGTTTGTGCCCTCAAACGTCGTCTGTTTTAATATCAATGTCTGGTATGTAAAATGTCAGGCGAGGGAAAAAAGTAAATTATAAGGTTGGGAAAAAAAAGGGAAATATGTATGAAAAATAATAGCGGAAAACTCCAAACAAAAGTGAAGCCCTGCTCAGCCGGCCCAGTGTCGTTGCCTTTGCTGATAAAGTTTCAGGCAGCTGCTGTTTGTTGGCAATTATTTTGCCGGCAGCTTCCACTGATGGGCTTTGACTTTGTTTTTGTCGCGCGCGAATTCGCTGGCAACTTTAGAAGTCAGTGACTGCAGCGTCTGACGCGAAAATCATCTGCAAACATTTGCCAAAGTTTAATGAAAGTCGCCAAAGTTTGCAGCCGACCAAGGGTGAAATACAAACAAGCTTAAACGATGATCGAGACAGATCTTTGAGAAAAAAAAACAACGAAGAAAATTTATATACGATGTCTATAATCTGATTTGAATTTATTTCCCAGTCCCAGAATAATTTGCCATTATGGAAAGGAAGCAATTCTTTGTGTCCTTTGTGTCTCAAATAACGCACGAATCAAAGAGACGAGATCAATCGCACACACAGGATATTTTACAGGATATACAAAGCGTTCGGTATACGTTCGTACTAGACCGCTGGGCGACGCTTTTCTTACTGAAAGCCAGCAGCACACGCATTGGCCAAAATTCAGAGGCGCTGCTTTCGAAGCCACTGCCACTGCAACGGCGGCAGAAAGGCGATTTTCCTGCTGCCGATTTTCCACAGCCACTCTGCCACGCTGCCACAGTCACCGCTGTTGCCGATGCCGATGCCGCTGCCAGTGCCTCTGCCAACGGGATGCGTTTCCCTACATTTCTCTTCGTTAGCCAGGACATCGGATGCGAGGACACGAAGCTGCCAGCCTGCCTGCCTTCTTGGCTGCCTGACTGCCATCGCAGCCATCCATCCGTCCTGTCGTTCATGAAATATTCACGAATGGCTCGCTCTCACTCGCGCAAATTGCTCTCCGTTCCGGATCGGGTTTTTGTCTCTCTGTTCCGCCCTCGCACTTGCTACTGCCTGAAAGCCCTGCGAGTCCTCGTAGTCCCAACTGCCTCGTATCCTTGCTCCAAACGCCACTCACGAGTTCGTGGGTTTTCCTCGCTTCGGCATGCCACTCGCATTACAGCGCAGAATCCTGAGAGCTCACCGAATTTCGAAAGCGCCAGACACATTTGAAATTGAAAATAAGGAATTTCGTAAGGCAATGTCTCAACAGAAGAATAGTTTTTTAAAAACATATTACTAATGCTTAATGCTAATGATTTAAATGATAGCTTGGAGAATAACCCAAATATAGTTCAATTTTTAATAATATAAAATTATGCTTATGTTTTTTAATCAGTTCTCTTTGGCTTCAATCTAAATGTTGAAGGCACTGCCGAAAAATATCCTTAGCCTTGTCTTTGAAAGTCAAACCCAGTATTTTTATGGTTATAAGGGTAAACTGTTATACTCGTAGATGCAAAGAGAAATGTTAAGCCTTTGCTGTTACCTGAAATATTGAAACAAATGTGCCATGGAAATTTAAAAATGACAACAAACGCAGAAATAACTATAATTTTGGTCAACATTGAACCTAGAGTTTAAAATTTAGATAATAATACAAAATATAACTTGTCGATTAGCCAAGATGCAAAAGAAAATTAGCTAAGATGTTCATAGGAAAACAATATTTTTTCAATTTGTTAATATTTTTAGCCCCACATCTCCTCGTTTTTTAGTCGGCTAAGAAACAAAATACCTACTGTAAGTCAGAACTTTAAGCTATTTTGATCTGTATAAAATAAGAGAAATGTTATAATCAAATATTCCGATTTTTTTTTAAAAAAGCTTGATGTTACATCATTTGTATATTGGTAACGTAAAAGACGGAGTAATTACCTAAAATAAGACGAGGCCAAAATCCGCATTGATAATGTCTATTGGTAAGATCTATTGGTAATTGCTTTTGACCAAATAAAACCAACACAAAAAAAAAAACGCTTGGGAAAATTCGTTGATGAGAGTTCAAAGCAAAATATATGAATTTTTGATTGCGTATGTAAAGGGTTGGCTAAATGTAAGTGAAAATTTCCATTCTGTACATCAACCATAAATCGGGTGGTATACCTTCAATACCAGCCACTGAAAGTTCTCAAAGATTTTTAGAAATTACTAAAATAAATGCGTATGCTGGCTCCTGAGATTATTATACATTATTCGACATTAAATGGTAAGAATTAAACCGGTGTAAGGACGTAAACAAAAATGCACTTGTTGTTACAAAAATGTTGTTTTGTAATAAAGAAATCTTAACCAAAAGACAATTCGTCAAAATTATGTAGTTTCAGAATAATCTACCATTTACCAAACCCCTTCCATTTTTTTGCTATTAGCATACTTTCTAGCCCTAGCAGTAGTGACAGGACTTTTCAGGTGATGATGGAAGGAAGGACAGTGAACATGAGAACGAAAACTGAAAAATAGAAGAGGGAAAAATACATAATTGCATGTAATTTAGCATGCGACATTATCATTGTTTTACTCGTATTTAGCATAGAATCAACATGCCACATCACAGTAGCGGTGAGGCCATGGAATGTCTCGTGTGGCGGACAGCAGGCTTTGAGTGTCCTTTGTCCCTGCTCTCTAAACCAGAAGCACAGTGAAAAATTCGCAGAAAATTACTAATACCTGTGATTAAGAGCAGAATTTATTTTATGTTTGACAGAAACAAGGTACTAAGTGGGGACTAAGTAATTACTAAAGGACACATCGATAATATACTGGCTGATCCTGGTTTTGTAATTTTTTGCTCTGTAACATTGCATGTATTTAAATGCAACAGAAAAACAACAACATAGGCAGCAGCAACTTCACGTAATAAACAAAAGTGACGTAAACAATAAGAAGCGACCCCTTAGAGCGATGCAAAAGACGAGCCAAGGGGCCGGTTCTTTGGGTCCTTTTGCCTTTCTCTCTGGCTCCTTTTCCCGGTCTCCGATTGCATGCATGTGTGTGTGTGTGCGTGATGACAATTGCCCTTTGAATTTTTTAAATCACTTTAAATGAAAACAACAACAGGATTCCCCCATTCGCCCCTGTGCACTGCCTTTTGCCTTTTGTTCTTCGAGTTGCGCTTGTTAGGTAAATCAGCGCCAGTTTGTATGTGTCTGTTGTGTGTTTGCTGGTGTGTGAGTGTTTCTCACAAACAAAAGCAAAAACAATACCAAACAGCAACAGCAACAACAACATTGTGCAGAAAGTTATAACGTGCTTAAGCGTCTTTAGCTGAAATGAGGCTAAAAATATTTGCTTATAATGAAGTGCACGACTGTGTGAGTATGACCTGTGACCATGCACAAGTACTCAGGACACATACACACATCTGTGTGTGTGTGTGGCTACATAACAATAGCGCATTGGGTACTACTGTTTTTGTACTCGAGGACGAAGTGCCACACCCCCCGAATAAGAAGAAAATTAAGGCATTGTTAAAGCCAATTAGGGTATTTAGTCGAGAGACCCGGACAGCAGGGCGTATGCGTGATATTTCACGGTGGATGACAGCTGCCAAGGATAAAAGCGCGAAACTGACGGAAATCTGCAGGAAGCTCAGACATTTTTTTAAAGCTATTAATGCAGTAGTAGGGCTTTTGTTTTGGTTATGTGATAGTTTCCCATGATAACCTTAAACATGTTGGCAAGACGTGAAAATGGCGTGGTCTATTTTACTTCACCTCGGGGCTTAATAAATAATGCCTTCGGTTTATTCCAATTTGTTAATCCCCTCAAATGCCTCTTAAATCTCCCTGAACAGCAGACCATTTACCATTTGAAACTAAAGTTTGCAGTGCAAATTAATCGGGTTCGAGACGAATCAAACCCTCGTAGACTAAGCCACAAGAAACATGCCACATCTTGACATAACCAATTGCCTGGGCTGGAGCCAAATAGGTCGACAGAGGACCTTTTGAAGGTTTTACCCAGCACCCAGAACAAAAGGGAAAATGGACATGGAACAGAACACAGGGTGGGCGAAGAAGAACCGTCCTCGTCCATGATGGAGAATCCGATGGCGATGCTTGGGGCGAAAACGGCTAAGCACCTTTTGGCCAAGAACGAGACAGTTTTGAACGCCTCCCGGGACAACTTGGGACGTTGATGGCTCAGCAAGGAATTTGCAAATTTTTGGGGGCCCGAAAACTGCCAATAAATAAATTCATGTTCGCATGCCCAAGACGCACGGAACCCAAGCGCTCTAAAAAGCTAAATAAGTAAATTATTTATGCATGCCCCTGCGACCTCCTTTACTTTTAGGTGCCACCTAATGGGGGTCACACTTGGAGACTTAAATTTTTAAATAGGTGTGTCAGATAATGAAAATAAGTACCCGGCAGGGGAGTTTAGCTCCGGAAAAGTACCAAACACAGAGCCAAAACACATGCGCCGGCAACAGGGGATTGTTACAGAAGCCCTGTCACAGTTTTTGTTATCCCTGCTGTTGGGGCTGCAGTGCTCTCTGCTTTTCCCTGTTGTTTTTGTTTTGGTTTCTGATGTGGACATGGCTTGTAGGCCGTCGCCATTTGCCTTTTAACTTGGCTAACGATAATTTGTTTGGCAACGGCCGCCTGGGCTGTTGTGCGCTTCTGCTGTTTTTCTGCCACCATCGCAGCGTAATGAATTTTTATGCTCCTTTAATGTACTTTACGCAGATATGAAATTATGTGACCAAAGCGACCGAATCCGGCAGCCGACGACCGAGCCCACCCTTCACTTTGACCGGTTGGCGGCCTGCCGTGTTAATTATTAATATTTTTTAATTAAAATGTCCACTAGCCAGAGCAATACAAACACGCCTGTTAGGCAAACAAAAGCCGGCTCCAAAACTGTGGCCCAAAAAGGCCGACAAAAGTCATCACGCCTGCAGATCCTGAATCTCGAATACAATCTCACAAACTGAACGCAAACTATGAGCACTAAATCATCAATAAACATGGCCGCAGAAAAAAATGTTGAATTTAAATCGAAAACTGGAAACCTACTTGTCAGTCTGCGGTCTGGCAGATAATCTCCAGTGGGTCCTGGCCGGGAAAACGCCTGCATGAATTATCGCATTCAAATAAAGCCTGGAAGGCCTCCGTCCAAGTACAATATCTCTATGCTCTTTCCTCTGGTTTTGGGTGACTGTGCCCGACTTAATGTACCGCGAAATAACTCGAATAATTCAAATGTGAAACTGTAGGAAAACGCAGTGTTCATATATTCTGCTCCTTCCATAATGCATTTCCGAATTATGACTGCCAATAATCAGGAGAGAAGGCGCGAACATTTACATAAAGAGTTGTGCAAGCTCTGATTTTATTCCAGCTGAGTTAGTGGTTCCATTAAAATGAAATTTAATCTGTATAAGTAATGGTCGAGGAACTAAGTTCTGTTTAAGCGGAAAATTCAAAGGAGATTGGTATAAAGTCAGTTATGAGCTAGAAATGAAGTAGAAAATACAAGTAAATATTAAGCACAAAATAATAATTTAATAAAATTTAATACGACTTTGTTCAGTCATATTCCAACCATGGAATGACCAGGTTATCTGTATAGTAGCTCCAACAGCCTCATGCCTGGTTATCCATTTTCGATTTGTATAGGTCGGCCAGTAATTGCCGCTGGGCTATTACTACTGGCCTTGGCCATTTGATGGCCACGCATTTCCAACCGGAAGCGCGTTCCATCGATTTGTCTCTGTCGCTGTCTTTCATTTGGCTTCTGAGCGAGTCCCCGGACCATTTCGGCTTCAGCTTCAGTTTCAACGACTTGCCATCCCAATGGCAGCCGTTGGCACAATTTACTGTTTAAGTAATATTTCGTTTCTTTGGCGGGCGGGGCGGGGACATTAGCAACTGCAGGAGAGAGTTACACTTGCTGCACATAACTGTGTAAT